GGCCGATGAAAGGAAGGGTAGTGGATCATCACTTGGCTCTTTCTAGTGTCATGGATTTAGCAAATTGAAAGTTGAAGAGGCTATCCTTATGATGAGTCTCAGTTTACATTAAACAAGAAAAAAATATTCATGAAGGCTCCCTTTTTATAGGGGCATCTTGCATTACTACTGTCTATTTGATCCGCGATTGATATAAACCCTGTTTATTGATCTCATCTGGCTCTTTGTTTATCTTCTTTGGTTAAGGATCTCTGTGACTTAAAGGGCACAAAGACGTCTGTAGTTCTCACAGATCAGTTTTCCCCTTTTACCCAGAAGAGTAGAGGAACAGACAGAATTTTATCCACCAAATAACAGGTTTATGATTAGTGATTTAAGGGCTTCATAAATCGCCCCATCCGTTTTAAGTTACCTCTATACAGTTGCAGGTCTGTCTTGACTTATGAGGCTGGACAGAGACAGAGAAAGAGAAAGAACAACTTGTGTAAAAGTCAAAGATCACAGCTTACTCATCATATGGTGTGACAATCCCTCTCGTCTAGTTTAGAAAGGTAAAAGGGAGGAATAGATGACACAGAACATTTTAGCCCCTTTTCGACCCCCGTTAAATCTGGGTAAATCTTTGATATGTATTTTGTTACTGTTGTTTATTGATACTGGAGGGGTGTTCACAATATCAAATATAGCTCTGCATTCCAGCAGATCAGAGCATAGAATATCCAGTGCTGTGATTTAAAACAGCTTTCCAAAAGCTAAGATAATAATAAACTCAAGTTTGCTCTCATTTCTTAAGTTTTTACAAAAAGCTGTGAACTATAGGCTTTCCATGTTCTTTCTTTCCTTCATTTCTTTCCATGTCAGCTCTTGTATCACTTAACTATTCGGTCCACCAATGTAATGTAATGTTAAGATATTTTTTACTGATGCAAAGCAATAGACAAACATCATTGGTCTCTTTGAATAGTTTAGTTCTCAATGAAGAAACCCAAAATTGCCCACACAGTCCTGGGTTACATGCTTACTAAGAAGCTGTATGGAGCTCTATTCATTTTCATGCCGTTCTATGACCCAATCACAATCTTCACCGGTACATACCTAACCCTAACTGTATATATAGATAAATACATTTCATATATATATATATATATATATATATATATATATATATATATATATATATATATATATATATATATATATATATATATATATATATATATATATGTGTGTGTGTGTATGCTCATATTAGAAGCAAGAATCAGTTTTACTACCATATATATACTTTACTACTATATTTATATATATATATATTTGTGTGTGTGTATATAAAAGTAGTAAAACTGATTCTTGCTTCTAATATAAGCTGACAACTTGTAAGCCACTGTTTCCTCATACCGCTTAACTCAGACCACATTGTTCCCACAGAAGCGCTTTCCTCTCCCTTAGCTTGACTTATTCTCTCCACTGCATAATATTTTCTTCTCCATTCCTGCAGTTGTAGCATCTGGTTTGAGTAAAGCTGCTTGCCCCACTTGGTTGAAGATAGAAATTGGCTGCATAGTCTTTCTTTCATAAAACAAAAGAAAAAAAAATTAAAAATACATAGTAAAGTGTAGGTAGGGCTGGATAATATGACCAAAACTTATATCTTTATTTAAGATTATATGACTATATGATTTCATTTTGATATTGACTTTTGGTCTTCACTTATATATCACTTTATCAAGTCAGGAGACCTGAGTAAACTGCTGTACACTACATTTAGACATTCACAAATTCAGTCACACACTAACGGTGGCAAGCTACATTGTAGCCACATCTGCCCCGGGGCTTACTGACAGAAGGGAGGTCACTGAAATACACAGGCACCATTTGACCATCATCAGTAGGCAATGCAGCTAATGTGTCTTGCCCAAGGACACGATGACATTGGAAGCCGGAGCTGCAGCTTGAACCAACAATCGTGCGGTTCAAGAGCAAACTCTGCCCCAATGTACAAAAATTATAGCCTAAGAAAGACTGCCAAGATTAGCCACTACAAAATATCTTATAAGAATGTCAAACGTCATTTTGTACACAATCTGTGTGTACAAAAAGACGTTTGTACATTGTTATGACAGCTATACAATATACAGCTTTCATATAAAAAGCTATACAATATACATTTCCATTTATTAAAGCATATGGCAATTATTTTGCCATGTTTATAAAACTCCTCCAAAATACCATTTTAGAAATAATTGCTTAAAAAAACATAAAGCCACCTAAAACCAGGAACAGCAGTGAGAAATGGTGTATTCATAGAGTGTTATGTGTATAAAAATATTTCAAATGTGTTTAAAAGTCATATAACCTATATTGGATTCAGTTTCTATCATGATATATACATTAAAATCTAAATATTGTGCATCTCTAAGTATATGTGATTGTTCAGAAATGATGTCCTGTGTTTTACCTATTTTCTTTAAAAATAGGGGTTTATGCATTTTAAACTTCTATAAGATTCAGAGTCAAGATGTTTTTATAGTTTAAGGTTCTTACGAAAGTTCATGCACAATTAGCTTGCCGACCAGGGTTCAAATCCGACGTGGTCATTTGCCGCATGTCTCTCCCCCTCTCCTGTTCCCCCTTTCCCTTAAAAACAAAAGTATACATATGAAACATAAGAAAAAGGTTAACAGTCAATGAATGATACATTTTTCTGGAAGAAAGTTAGACAAGGTATCGGCTTCTTTGTGAAATGGATATTATTGTGCTTTTTTAAAAATAAATTAGGCTCTTCCATCCATAAAGGACCCTCACCATGGACCGTTCTCCTTGCTGCCCTCTGAAAAAAGTGGCTTTGCAGCATTCGATGCAGGGCCAGCAGATTCCGAAACAGCTTCTTCCCCACCGTCATCAGACAGCTGAACTATTGAGAAAACTCGAAATCATGTCACAGACTCTGCATCATAATGGCAACAACGAACCAAAACACTGCATAATTGGACCATGTATATTTAATGCTCCGAGCTTCCATATCAATGTGTTTTTTGCACCATGTTTTTTCTCCCACACTGTTTACATTTGATCACTGCTGCACTTTTAAGAAATGGAAATGTCATGAAAGCTGTACGAAACGAAATTACAGTTGACAGGACCCTGACACAGCTGTTATGGCACTCGTGTTTATGTATGTTTACTTTCAACCTGAACTTTCTTTTTGTACTTTTGTATGATAGCTTAAAATCTACTTATCTTAAAAAATGTGTTTTCAATAGACATTGAAATCCTTTTTCTTTTTACCATTTCAATGCTAAAAGTGTCTATTTGGGGCCTGTATTTACATAGCACTTTTGTGAGGTACTATACTCTAGACCAGGCATCCCCAACCTCGGTCCTCAAGGCCCGCTGTCCTGCAGGTTTTAGAGGTTTCCTTGCTCCAGCACAGCTGATTTTAATTGAAAGCTGATTAACAGGCTTTTGGTCTACTGCAATTATCATAACCAGCTGTGCTGAAGCAGAGAAACCTCTAAAACCTGTAGGACAGGGGGCCTTGAGGACCGAGTTTGGGGATGCCTGCTCTAGACCAAAACACACATTCACGCACTGACTCAAACACCGATGTTGGGAACATAGTAGCCACAGCTGCTCTGGAAGAAGCCAGGCAGCCATACACAGGTGCCACCAGGTCCTCTGACCACCATCAGTAAGCAATGCGGATGAAGTCTCATGCCCATAGACACAATGACATTGAAAGCCTGAACCACAACTCTCATGGTTGCAGGCAAAGTCTGCATCCAATACTACTGGCGCCACATATAAAGAATTTTTTTGAATTTTCACAATGAGAACACAATTAAGAAATTTTTAATGCCTGCTCTTAATCTTGCATAAAGGAGTCAGTTGCATAATGAATGAAGTCTGTTGAAGGTACATTTCACTAGAATTTGTGGTTTTGTGCTATTATTGAATTACAGCTAACAAGATAGTTGCAAAACGTTTAGGTTCCTTAAATTTATATTTTGATAGATTTTAGATGGGGTGACAACACTTGTAGCTAGTATACATGGATCTGTGTGCTAACTGCAACACTCTGTGCTCTTCAGTGTGGCAGCCTACCTTCATTTAGCACTGCTACTGCCACCTAAATTATTCAATTTGGAAAGTTAGTGTTAGTGTCCCTCTGCAAATTGGTAATTGCTTTTTCTTTTTTACATTGTAATTATACTGCAGATGCAATAAATTGTCCGTACTGCATTTACATTTTTTTTTCACTGCAATTTTGTATGAACAAAACCACAAACTGCAAAGCCTGAATTACTTTATTCAATTAAAACAGATGTTTGCTCATGGGCAATGTTTTAAAATATTGTGGATAAAATTCAAATTATTAACAATTATTGCATTGAAAAGTGATTGTTTTAAATTCAGGGTTCTACAGAATTTATTTCAGCTGAGCCGTTAAGAATAATGACTCTTTTATAACACATTGAAATGGGCAGCCAAAAATATTACTGCTTATTTCCTCAACTCACCCATTATTAAACCTGAAAAACCATTAAAAGGAAAGAAAATTTTTCTTTTCACAGTGGGGGGTTTCAAATGTTTTATCATATTAGTATTATTTATGCCAGATTGCTATATATATATAAACTCTTTGATCGTCGTTTTTTTCTTCATATTGAAATTGTTAGTTTTATGCTTGTGTTTACGCTAATTTACACAGCTACATTTCTATGAAGGACATTTGACTTTGATTACATTCCTTTCGTCTTTTTCAATTATAATTTGATGAATATGAATGATTAGTCTTTGAACGTTAAGTGACTGCTGAAATACATAAATAGTTAATTAAATGACCTTAATTTCACCACGTTTTCCTCCGCAATAATGTAATAACTTCACACAATAAAAATAATTGAGCAAGTTCTGTATTAATTTCAACCTTCAAAAAAGTTAAGAGGTTCCTGAAATAATCATGGTTTAATTTATGTGTGTTTCATGTCTCTGTTTGCCAGGTTGAAGCCAGAGAGACCATAGCTCGGATGTTGGGAGAGCTGGATTTGGGCCGGACTGAGAAGTGTGTAAGGGTGAACTCCGTTTCTAGTGGCCTAGCTGAGGCCGACCTGCAGGTTGTCCTGCAAGCAGAGGTTCTTCCTCCTGCCATTATGCTGCCCAAAGTAGAGGACATTCAGGAAGTCAAATGGGTGAGTTACAACTCAAGTACCGTGAAGAATCTCTGTCTAAGACGGATGCATTTTAAGGAGTTCAAATTCAGGATTTAAGATAAAATATTCTGTTGCTTTTCTCTTTCTTTGTAAATAGTCAAAATATTCTTTTCCATGACTACCTGTGGCTGTGGCTTTATTTTAAGAAAGGATAACACATATCTTCAGGTCGAGCTCATTATCCTGATAGCCTTTTCAACAACACAATGAGAGTTTCTCCAGCTGTTCAACACTCTACATGGCACACTGCTGTGAGAGATTTCATGTTTTGGCTACAAACCAACTTAATACAACTTATCAACATTCAGCCCTTTAATTCAAGATGAACTGAAATACTGTGACTTGCGAAGGTATTCAGCCCCCTTTTACTTTTCTACCAGTTGTCACATTTCAGGTTTCAAACATAAAGATATAACATATAATTTTTTTGTGAGGGATCAACAAGTGGGGCACAATCATGAAAAGGCACAAAATCTATTGGATATTTTAAACTTTTAAATAAAAAAAGTGTGGCGTGCAAAGTTAAACAGCCCCTTTACTTTCAGTGCAGCAGGCCCTCTCCAGCAATACTTTGAGGATCACTGAATGATCCAATGGATGCGTTCGATTTCAGAGGTTGGATCCTCCAAGGACCTGGTCTAAATGGACTGGGGCCCTTGAGATCTGTAAAAATAAGGAGGCTTAAAGAGTTTTGGCTATGGATTCAAACAGGTCCAGCTTTCTCCAGCTTTCACCGCCCGTACGCTCTGTCGCCTAGCAACCGTGAGAGCTCACACACAAAGCAGGCTAAGAATGGATACCGAACTTCTCATTAATGTTCTCTTTGGCTCCATTTACCTTCTGAGCACCGCGCAGCCAGCTGGCTTTGACTTGCAATGAATCGTGGGATAACCAAGGCTACGTAGGATACACCAGACCCATACTTCAAAACAGGCAAAAAGAAGACTGCATTCATCGGCCAAATAATGAGGGGTCTTCCAATCCAAACAGGCCTTGGCGTGGCGCTATGACGTAATCGGCTGAAGAATCTGGCCTTCACAGGACGCAGCTGCTGAATTCAAACTCAACATCTGCTGACCTAAATGACTGATGATGATAAATAAAATCTACCTGTGTGTAATCAAGTCTCTGTATATGTACCTGCTCTATAATTGTCTCAGAGATCTCTTTAAAGGCACACCGTGTAAATTTGAGCCACCAGGGGCCAAGCTGCTAGAGCTGTAACTATACATCTAGTGATCCTTGAAGCAACAAACGCTGCAGCGCTGTTGTAAAGGTCAACAAACAGTCAGCCGGCCAGCTGACTGTTGACTTTTACGACAGCGCAGAGGACCAGTAGCAGAGCTTCGCCATCTCAGTTAGCTTTTGTTTGTAGCCTGCTAGCTTTCTCTTCCCATATTTTGCATCTACTAAACATCAAAAATAATATAGATATATGACAGTATACTAGGAGAAAACTCTGCACTGGCCGGACCTTGCGGCTCGGAGGGCAGCGGGGTAGCTCGGGTTAATAAGTAGTGAGTAAGTAAGTAATGTTTATATATATATAGCACCTTTCACAGACATAGAGATCACAAAGTACTTCACAAAAATTTCAATGCAAATAAAAATAAATTTACAGTCACTAAAGACATGGTCATAAAACAACCCTAAATCTTGTTGGAATTAAAAATCTTTCTTAAACAAATAGGTTTTAAGTTTGCTCTTAAAAACATCAACAGAATCAAGTAAGCGCAAGGAAAGCTGAAGATCATTTCAGAGCGCCTGAAAGGAGCGATCTCCCCTGGGCCTCTAAAAAGTGTGAGGGACCATTAACAGGTTCAGGTCCTGATACCTCAGCCTTTGAAAGGGGGTATAAGGACACAAGTGTCTTATGTAGGAGGGATCCTGACTGTGTAAGGCTCTGAAGGTAATGACCAGGATTTTAAACTGGAACTGGAGAGAGACTGGGAGCCAATGAAGAGTTTTTAGAATCGGCGTAAAAGGAGTGCTTCTGTTTGTACGAGTCAGTAACCTCGCCGCAGAGTTTTGAACCTGCTGAAGACGAGACAACTCCTTTTTGTATAGACATGAGAATAGACTGTTACAGTAGTCTAAATGGTAAGAAACAAAGGTGTGGATAATCATTTCAAGATCATCTCTGGACACAATTGTTATAAGTTTAGAGATTTTCCTCAGTTGTTACAAAAAATTCCTTGTCAGCAGCTGTGAGTGGTGCTCTAATGACAATGCTTTGTCAAAGATAGTGCCTAGTTTTCTAAAGCCCTGTTTACACTACCCTCTGAAAACCGATCGGTGCCAAATTTTGATCAGTTAACAGTGCCAAGCTTGGTTCCTTAAGACCATTTACACACCACGCTAGCATGGCACTTCACCTCCTAGTGACTATCCACGGTACTACTGCTCTCTAGAGGTAAACAAGCAAATCAACATGGCGGCACCCGTAACATGCAGGAATTTTGCTTAGAGTCAGGCGAAGAAGGCTGCCTTTGGTAAATCTACTTGACAGAGTCGGCTTTGGGGAAGTAAACTAGACAGACATTGAGGTTCATCACACTGTTAAGCAGAATCATCACTGGAAATCATGTGGCACGGTAGGGAAGCTAGTATTTTTATGAATGTCTGAAATTTCATGATTAGGGCGGCTGAATGTAAGTAGAAGACGTGGTCTGCTCATGCGCTCTTTGTTATCTGAGAGCAGAGCAAGAACTGAACCGCGCCGAGCCCTACTGATGAACTAGTACCAGCTTAGCACAGTTCGGTTGTGTCAGGCACAGTCCGGTTAAGTTATGAGTGCCATGTACACTCAACAGTTATCTTGGTTACCGTGCTCGAACTGATCTCTGCACGGTTTCAAAACGGTAGTGCAAATGGGGCTCATGGCCTTGTTTAGCAAACAAACTCAAGCCTCCCAGATAGTGGGGGATACCTGGAATACCGTCATCAGGGGCATTCACGACCACCTGTTTTACCTGAGCTTGGTTGCAGTGAATTTGCATCAAGCCATTGTTTAACTTACGCAAGACATTCAGAAGAGAGCTGAACTTCTGGATCTCTGAGGATTTAAGAGAGCAGTAAAGCTGAATATCATAAGCTTTGGCTTGTAATCTGCTAGCTTTCTCTGCCCGCATTTTGCTTCTACTACGCATAGAAAAATAACAACAAAGACAGATGACTGTATACTAGGAGTGAAGTATTAACTTACCAGTCTAATAATAAAGTTGAGAAAAGAGAATTGAAAAAACATTGTTGGCACAATCCCTGTCATGTTTTCTCTTTTAAGGTTCAAAGTTCTTCTTTCCCTCAGCCATGGCCAATAGTTGAGTTGAGTCGACTGATCAGAGATGAAGTCAAGAGGCCCATGATCACTCTGAATAAACTGCAGAGATTTACAACTGAGGTGGTAATCCATAGGACAACAGTCGTATACTGGACAAATCATGCCTGTATGGGAAGAAAGCCATTTCTTAAAGATATCCATAAAAAGTCTTGTTTAAAGTTTGCCACAAGCCACCTGGGAGACACAGCAAACATGTGGAAGAAGGAGCTCTTGTCACATGAAACCAAAATTTAACTTCTTGTTAACAATGCAAAATGTTATGTTTGGCATAAAAGCAACAGTAATGGGAAATTGATGGGGAAATTGATGCAGTCAAATACAGGACCATTCTGGAAGAAAACCTGTTGGAGTCTGCAAAAGGCCTGAGACTGGGACGGAGATTTATCTTCCAACAAGACAATGATCCAAAATGTAAAGCAAAATCTACAATGGAATGGTTCATAAATAAACTTATCCAGAAGTTAGAATGACCAAGTCAAAGTCCAGACCTGAATCCAGTCGAGAATCTGAGGAAAGAACTGCTGTTCACAAACGCTCTCCATCCATCTTCACTGAGTTAAACTAAATTAAACACTAAATGAATGAATTCAGATTAAAAGTTTGTATTTTATTAAGAAAAGGTGTGATCCATATTTTTTACTTAAAAGATTCTCTTTTTTTAGATATATCTGTAACGTTTGTTAATAGTTATGCATAGTACCTTACCTAACCTTTGATGCAGGTTACTGTTGTTTCTTTGCAACAAACTAAATCGTCACATTTCTGGACATTTTATCTCTCCTCAGTACCTGTGCATTCGTAAAGAGTCGTTTTGTTTTGTGGTGACCATGTGGGTTTTAATAAAAGGGTGCTGTACAGCTGCCAATTTCTCAAAGGTCAGGAGACAGGGACGTCATTAATGCAGAGCTGTTTTGATCAGCACCATATGCCTATATTCACTTACCAGAAAAGTATAACAGTAGATATTATTTTCTTCATTTTTTTGTAATGATGGTGAAAAGATAATACATGTGAGCTTGTATTATTTTTCGCTTAGATTTTTACTGGCAAAATATCTGTTTAGCTTTTTCTAAGCGCTTAATGTAGCTGTTTAAAAGCTTCAGTTAAATCGGATGTGAAAGGCATGTGTCTGGTTTGGCTTCGAAACCATAGCGCACTCATGTACACACTAAAGCACACACACACTATGTGTAATATGTACGCATACATGGTCTAGCGGCAGGCGGAGGAAGTTTTTAACTAGTGGTTTTAATTAGAACACGTCTATTTCCTGCTGCCCCTGCTTTCTTCCCAGTATAATTGCTGACAGGTGTTCGCTTATTCACTGCGCCAGCTTTTCATCCTGTACTACTTTTATTCTCTGAAAAGAGACACTTTTGTCATTCATTTTCCTTTAAAATTGTTATTATTATTGCAAGCTCGAAAAAAAAAACATTGTTGGCAAATTAAAAGCCGTATGACGCAGATAATTGTCTGCCTTTTTTTTTTCCTTTTGTGCCACTAATGCGCTTAATTGTACGTTTATTCAAGTCAGCCTGTTGTTTAGTCTGTTCTCCTCAGGAGAACTGGCTGCAAGCTTACTGCGCTTCTGTTTTGATTTATTTGTGAGTTTCTGCACCAGCAGGTGTATGCACGCTCCAGAGACTAACACAAGTTCTGCTCTGGCCTTTGAGTCTGTCATGCATGCTCATCCGATCTCACCTTGGTCCCTCACAGCTCTTTCCGTCTGTGCCTTGCCCAGACTTTTCCCTGTGTGTGTTTGCATTGTAAGCATGTCTGATTCTCTCCGCTCTTGTTAGGCCAGGCAGTAAATCCCTCACTTGTTTATTTTTCACCCTTTTTTTTAATGGATATTGGCACAGGAACCTTCAGCCTGATTTGTCGCTAAAAGATGGACTTGCTTGTTTCTCTTTGTGCCAAACTCTTTTGCTTGGCCTTTCTGCTCTCCTCCAGCCCCTTGTGTGACTGACAGGCCTTATTGGGCTGTAACAGGCGTAAACCCCCCTTCACACACGCACTCTTTTGTTCGAGGACAATTCTCACACAGATTCGGAGCCGTGCGCATTCTTTGCCCACCATACTATTTGGTGTGCACTGGGGACCAAAAGAATCGCACCCTGTCCCGCTCCTCCTCCTCCTCCTCTACTCCTCCTCTCGTCCCCTCCCCTCATCCCTTTTCTCCGCTTCCCCTCTGTGAAATGAACACTTCAGCAGGCCGGAAACATTTAATCTGGCCCCCTTTTGAAGAAAATTAATTGAAACTTGTCCCACTATAGCCTTCATTCTCGAGCCCCGTCTCTCCCTCCTTCTCTTTTCATGATTGCGAGTTGAAAATTGTCCGAGGGCTTGTTTGTATCAAGGCTCTGAATGGCAAGAAGAGGTGTTATTTGTTCTCTTCATCAATTCTTTTATTTTATTCAATTCAGCGAATAGCACCTTAAAGGGTCTTAGTTTTGATAGCCATTGACAGTTAATGGTTGCCGTCCGTGTCAGAGTGAGAATAAGCAGGCGCTATTGCACCTCTTATGGTGGTAAATCGACACTTTAGGTATATAATAGCTGAAGAGGAGATTCTTGAAGAACAGAAACGTCTAGTCATTGAAGAGCTGGCTTTTTTTGTTGAGTGGAGCCATCGCCTGTTTTCTGCAGTAGGATCTAAACCACCAGCTTGACCAGCCGTGATGTATGTTAGATTTCCCAACATCTATCTGGTCTGCTCTGTCACAAAAAAATGGGTTTATCTACACCCTCTTTTCACACTCCGACTCAGCCCCCCCAACACCCCTTCCTGTGTTGGCAAGGGAGGGGGGCATATTATGCTAAAACCCCCAGCGTTAGTTTTTATGTTGCCATAGAAGCCTTGCTCCCACAGGGTTGTGACCTCAGATGATTACAGTACAAAGCCCATTGGGTCTTGAAAACCTCTTTGAAGATGAAAAGTCTTTGATGGTTTGTATTTATGCAAATCTCCTCGATATGATTTATCCAACTGAGATTGAATGGAGAGATGATTAAAATTGCCCCTATTTTTTTTTTCTTTTTTCAAATCCCTTCAGTGGAGGTCCACTCTTTCAGTTTTCCGAACGAGTGTGGAGAGTGGTGAGTGTGAGGGCTATTGTGTTCCCCTGTTTGGACAAATATTCATAGTCTACCTGAGGTTATTTATAATGACTATTTTTAATTTCTATTGTCTTGCAGAAAGAGCAGAAGGAGAGGAAGGAACTCAGAGGTAGACATTTCTTCTCTGAGCTTTTAGTCTCTCTTCTTTCTGTCTTTTTTTTTTTTTTTTTGTCTGGCTTTGAAAGGAAATATCTGGCGGAGGGGGCTTTTGTGTGTTTCCAGATGATAGATTTAGGAATTTGGGCAACCCCACTGGCAGTCCAGGGCTAGCTGTGAACTGGTCTGTTGGAAAAAATCGGAATGCTTTGGTCTTCAAAGAATTAAACTTGGGTTTTAAAGCCCTACTTAGGTGAGCTTGCATATTAGCAGGAGTCGTGCAGAATAAAGGCCTCAGCAAAGTGTCACATCACTCTCTGATTGTTGCTGCACTCTCTCCTCTTCCCCACGAAGGAGGTTTGCAAAAACAGCATAATGCAGTGGTAAAAACACGCTCAAAGACGTCCCAAATCTTGTTTCTTCTTCCTTCTTCTGCACTTTGTTTCTTCTGCATGTGTCGGTGTGTGCGTGGGTGCATTTACATGTCTGCATGCTCTCAAGGGAGCACGAGCTGTAGGTTTGGAGAACCTCTGAAAGAAGGTAGAGCAGAATACTTCAGTCGAAGAGGGGAACCCTGGTGTTAATGTAAAATATTTTCTTTCTTCGCTTTTGTTGCTGCTCTCCTTTGCGTGCTCTCTGCGCCCTGTGAATCCTCACAGATGTATGTCTGAATAAGGGCTGAAACTGGAATGGCACAGGTTAGAAGTGTCGAGATTTCCATCGAAGAGGAATTTTGACATTTTAAGACTTTTTTTTACTCTACTCCATCATTCTTATCCTCAAAGGCATTTTGAAAAGCAGTTTTTGTGACCCTATGTTGTTGTTACTGCAAAACCTTACATCCAGTTTAAACTAGCAGATTTTGTACATACAAAGGTGTGCATTTATTAAAATGTTTTTTTTCATTCTTAAAAATAAAATCAGAAGTGTGCCATGGGTTAGTGTCAACCCCCTTTCATCTGATACCTCAAAATAAAATCCACTGCGATATTTATTAGGTTGTTTTTGCTGTTCATGTAGTTCAGAATCAGCCCCCTTTACTCTGCTGCTCCAAAATGGATGTAATCTAGTGCCCAAATTTCATAGTTAGTTTTTGTTGTTTTTAGGATGGGTCTTCAGCCCCCTCTTCCCTACATCTTACTAAATTTCAGTGCTTAGTTCTTAACTTGATTTTGCTGTTTGTATATTTTTACTCAATCCAGTAGTATACATTACCCTGAGATAAACTTTAGTGCCAATCTTCTCCACTTTTGCTGTTTCTTTAATTCATCTACAGCATCTTTATATCACTACAACAAAGTCAAATCCAGTGTTGCTCCTTTGATCCCATTTTCATCATTTATATTCTGCCCCCTTTATTTTTCTACCCCAAGATAAAATCCTTTTACCATCATCTCTTGCTAGTTGTATGACTTGTATGAACTTACACTGAATATGAAAATGAGCGGCAAAAGAAAATAGAGTTAAATGCGGAACTTATTATGTGTTTTCCCATTTATTTGGATTGTTTGATGACGATTGGCTACAGCGCTTCGGGTAAATTAATTGACTCAGATTGCTGAGAGCTTTATTGTCTCGCAGTCAGGTAAACTGTGAGTGTTATTAATGAGCGGAGCCTGATACGTCGCCCATGTGCTCAGTTTGTTGACAGGTTTCAGCACTACTTGAAAGGACGGACACTGACAGAACCCATTCGCCTTGTCACCTTTGTGGAAACCGCTGTGGGCCTGCTCAATTTTAAGGTAAATTACAAGTGAATAAAAGGAAAACTGCAAACGTAAGAGATCTCGCTTTTTGTTTATAGTTGGCTTTAGATTAAAGACTCCGTCAGCATGGAGAGAACTCGCCACATCCAGAATGAGAGGGATCTGAGGCTTTAGTCTCTCTGTTTCTTTCCATCCTAAGATATCCTGACACTGTTTAATTAGTGCAAACTTGATGTCCTCATAGTGAGAAAGATCTTTAGAACATTTCTGCTAGAATCAGTCAGATTTCAGGAATGGTAGAGCATGACCTTCAGCTACTTGGAGGGGAAAAGAGAGCAGATTTGGAGAACAACCAGCTGGCAGTCCTTCTTTTGTTCGCCTGTTCTTCTGTCTAATTCTCTGACTGTGATTGGGTTATGTGTGTTTACGTATGGGTTTTTTTTCTGTGGTTGGGGGTGTATCTTGAGAAACCCTTTCTTTTTTTCACCCAGACTGAACATCAGGTAACTTTCTGTGGCACAGCTAGCGGTAGTATTAATTTGGAGTTGAAATTAAAGACAAGCATGAAAAACATCTTACTGTATGTCACTCTTTGCTCCAGTTCATCTAGGTTGTCGTGGTTTTGTTTGTAACTGTGTCTTAGCTGCTTTTATGCACATGTATCTGCTATGCTTTTGGCCCAGATTTTTTGTTTAGGAAAAACTTGATTCTGGTAATGTACTTAAAGTTCAAGGATTAATATTTTACCGAGACTGCAAATAATCCATATGAGAAACTATTAAATCCTTCCGTTTTTATGTTTTATTTGATTCAACTAAGTAAAAATGCATCTTCAACGGTGGCTTGTTTGTCTCTGTGCCATCATTTCTCAAATCTGTTTCCTCTTTCCAGCCACTTTCTGCCTCTGTTATGCTGATTTATTCATTCTCTCTCAGGCAGTGTGTGAGGAAATCCGTCAGCTCGCTCCCAGAGCCTGGCTCCACCATGACGGTGTGGTGTTTGGCTCCGATGACTTCTGTGCCAGCATAGGTGTCGGTTACACTTCAATTTTGACACTCTAAAATTATTGCCATCTGTGTTTTGCTGTTATTGTTTTCACAGTGCCTTGCAAAAAGCCATTAATGCAGTGTTGTGTTGCAGCAAAATGCCTCTTGGTTTGCATTATGTCCCAGGGCCTTTCTGAATGTTCTCCCTTTGAATATGTTGAGTTATCTCTGGATACTCCCACTTCCTACCCCAGTCCAAAAACAGAACATCTTTAACTCTTTGACACCAAGTGTGTCATATTTGAAACATTTTTGAGGCAGCTACATCATCAGTGTAATCATTTTGTTCTTGAAAACCACAAACCTGTACAGTCAGACACATGCAGTGAAGAGAAAATCTAGACTTAAATGCAGTGAAATGTCTATTGTATCACAAATTACACGAATAATATATCTAATTTAACTTTTCAAAATTGATGGATTTTTTTTTTTTTTTTTTTTAGTCAAAATGTTCAATAGTTGCTCTAAAAGAATTAGAGAATTCTGACAATTATTTTATGGTTTTGGCTCTCCAGCATTAGTTATTGTCAGTGTTGTATAAAGTACTGAAATCTCGGAGTCAAGTAAAAGTATAAGTACCTCTCCAAAATATGACTTTGGTAAAAGTCCAAGTCATTGACTGAAATGTTACTTGAGTAAAAATCTTAAAGTATCTGAAATGGCTTGTACTTAAGTATAAGAATTACTGTAAAAATAGATGTACTCAAGTAATGTAGTGAAAAGTATAAGTAAAAAGTAAGTGCAGTTTGAATTAAATTTTTTTTTACATTTTGGTAAACTTTGAAGGTTAAATTCACTTAAAATAATATACACAACCAAGTGTAGGATAAATTTAGACTGGCTTTGCGAAACAGGTGTATCCTATTGGTGCTGATGAACAAGCCCAGGCAAGACCCCGACTTGTAGTCGTAGGGAGTCAAAACATGCGTTTCTCTTGCTCTCCGCTGTTTTTTTTTTCACTTAGTAACTAAACCAAACATGTGAAAATGTATCGAGTAAAAGTATGCAATTAAGTTTGTAAATGTAATGAGTAAGTGAAAGTTCTCAAAAATGTATGCTCTTGGACAGTATAAGTAACTTTCCAAAATATACTTAATACGTAGTGAAGTATTTTTACTTCGTTTCATCAACTGTTGTGTTTGTCTAAAGATGCACGTTTTATTTTAAAGCCTACAGTGTTTCCTTCCCTTCATCCGTGGCACCAAAACAAGCATGAACGCGCCGCCCAGAGACGTTGATAAAGCATTTTCATCCTCGTTTGGGTTTAATAGCATTTTACCTCTTTGGTAGAACACATGCCCGTTTCCCACAAGGACAGGGACATCCCTCTCCATTTTCAAAAAAAAACCCTGAGGGGGTTTACAGCTGTCTAGCACCCCTTATAAATTTTTTCGATCCCAGCGCTTACCAGCCCTCTTTTTAAGTAATGTAACATATAATACAATTTAAAAATTGTATTTGGGATCCTTTTATAAAATTATGGTTTTATATGTGTTCAACACTGCGCTGTGGATAAAATTTTAAAATTTTGTCACCCGGAAAACCACAAATAAAAGTAAAAACCCCGCATCCGGATTTGGGGACCATCACTACCTTGGGGGCCCCCAATGAGATAAAGGCCACACGACTGCACGCTATGAAGACAGGAAAAAAGAAAAAGGGAAAGGCTGACAGTACACCCGCGAGGATGAGACAGCTATTGATACCTTGTTCCCCCCGGTAAGCCCCTTAAAAAGAGCCCAGATTAAAAAACCGTAGTTGCTTTTTTGGGGTTTTTCAGCTGATGATGCACTTTAGCTAAAAGATGCCTTATTTTTTCCCTAGTGGAGAACCACCCCCACCACTGAGGGGGAGCTTAAACAAAACCGTGACAGAATGTACTTTTGTCAGCGCCGGGGTGCTGAAATCAACCGGGTGTGGGGGAGAAAAAGGACCCTGAAACGTGAGCTTGGCGGCTTCAAGCTTAACCCTACTTTGTGCCATTCTTTTAGTGAAAGGAAATTTAAATTTCATCAAAAATTAAATTCAAAATATTAAAAAAAAAAAATTTAAGAAAATTTGCTGAAATAGAAATCCTTTGTTTGTCTTTGTGTTAGAAAAAAAATGTGTCCTAAAGGGGTTTTTTGAACCTTTCTAATTAGTCTCCCCCCGTGTGGGAGAAAAAAGATTTTTTTACCATCTTCAGAAATGGGTGGGTTAATCTGTATTTTGTTGAAAATATTTATTTAAATTGTTATTAATAAAATTTTAAGGAAAAGATAAAAAGCAAAGACCCAAATAAAAAAAATAAAAAAAATAGTGCAGTGCGTGGGCCCTTCAAGTTTTAAATCCTGTTTGAATCAAGTCTTTCAAAGGAACTATTTAGAAAAATAGTGCATATTGATGCGGGGTTTTTTAAAATTTCCCATAAAACACTGAACGGGTAAAATTTGAGCTTAAAACATTCAGTCAGAGGTATTATGCAGGTTTAAATGCCTGTCTTATTCATTTCTTTTCTTTTTAAAATGATATAACAAAAAACCCAGGTGGTTGTTTTACTTTTTCTGTTTATAACTTGATTTAAAGAAGATACACATGCATAGGGGTTGGGTTAAGTTTTTTTTCCAGCATGAATGAAATATAATGGCGTCCTTCCTATAATTTATTCTATTTTTTTTCTCTCAGTCTTGCACCTCAGCGCATTAATGAGACCCCTAAGCCATGGGTCTCATTGCTGCGATGGGGAGGTTTGCTGTGCACACTGAATGCATGGTGGAAATTTCAGAGGCATGTACACATGTTGGGGGTCTGCTGTTTAAGATTGAGGGAGCATCCGCATCCCGGGGGAAAAAGACTGTGACAGATGTGCCCCTTATTGGAAAATACCAGCAGGTATCAACAAAGTCAGCGGTGAAGTCGCCCACAAGATGGACTTTATTCACCAAAGTGCAGAGGATTTGCTCTGGGCAGAGTCATCGATGACAACTTCCCCTGCCTGGCCCACGGGCCCGGGGCCCGCAGACGCCTGCCCCAAGCCACATTGGGGCTTATCGTCAAAGTTCCCTTTTCTTCAGAACCATGGTCAGTTTTTATTCCCCAGGGAAACCCACTTTCACAACTATCTGCTCCCCTGTCCAGCCAGCTGTGATCCCCAAAACCCCTGCAAGACCGTCTGCGCGACCCAAAGTTTGAAAAAAGTCCAACCCCTGTCCTTCCCCAGCACGTGAGACAGTGAAAGCATTTTCGTGCATATTTTTGCACCGTTTTTTACAATACAATTATAGATTATATTTTGTATTCATGACTATTTCATCGCAGCCTTTAAATTTTACAATTTAAGAAAACATTTGTTTAAAAAAAATTATAAAGAATTGCATAACATTTTTTTTTAAGTGTATATAGTACCCCTAATAATTTGCACTACTTCAAATGTTATTGATATCTGTTATTACTTAATTTGATCTACCTCCAATTTTTATGTTTGTAATTGATGTTTCATAAATACGTATTTTTTATTACTTTGGATTTTTTTTTATACATAGACATTTTTTATAAAAAGCATAGTATTTTGTATTATTACATTGTATTGTTATATTTGCATATTATTGCACGTTGTTATATTATACAATTATAGATTATATTATTGTATATCATGACATATTGCATCGCAGCCTTTATTTATACAATTTAAGTAATGCATATTATTATAAATACTTATATAAGAATTTGCACTAACAGTGTTTAACTGTTAATGTTTACTATAACTACAATTTGTATAATAATAATTTGCAATATCTCCACTTTCCATTTCTCCATTGATGTTTCATTAAGACCGACTTATTAATAGGATTGAACATTTTGTATAAATACATACTATGTTATTGTAAGTAATTGCACTGCATTTTCATCGCGTCCATTTTTTATTTGTAACCATTTACCTACAAGCATTCAAACTGCACTGCTCTGTTCTGCGCTGCACTGTGTTCTCAAGTTTCACTACTTGCAAATAAACACTGAAAAGGATCTGATCGTTTGAGACCTCTTGCTTTTGGGTATGGATGCAAAACACACCTATGGCTAAAAAACAACCCACTTGTTAAATGTTTGCTTAGAGTGTATTGTTGATACAAAGAAATTGTCAATTCCATATTGAGCATCAATCTTTTCTTTAATACAGTAATTCATAAACACCAGAATAAAGTGGTTGACTTTAAGGTGTGGAAGTCCAGTGTAGTATTTCACTTTGACGGTGTCTTCCTTCAGGAAATCTTCATCCATTTTTCTCTGGCCAAGCTCACGTTTCAGGGTCCTGTTCTCCTCCAGCAGCCGGTTGATTTCAGCACGCCGGCGGTGTCTGCTCAGCTCCATCCTCAGCTGGTGCTGGTGTCTCCACTATGGATAAAATAAGGACATCTTTTAGCTAAATGTGCATCATGCAGCTGAAAAAGCCACAAAAGCAACATACGGTGTTGAATCTTCTGGCTCTGTAAGGCTTACCGGGTGGAACAAGGTCATCAATAGCTGTCTCATCCTCGCAGGTGTACTGTCAGTCCTTTGCCGTTTTCTCTTTTCCTGTCTCTCATAGCGTGCAGTCTGTGTGGCCTTTATCTCAGTGTGGCCCGAGTGTAGTGATGGTGCCCAATCCGGATGCGAGGTGTACATTTCATTTGCTGGTTTTCCTGGTGACACAATTTAAAATTATTATCCACAGCAGCAGTGTTGAACACATATAGAACCATAATGTTATCAATGATCCTCAATATACACATTATTAAATTGTATTATATGATTACATTACATTACAAGACGGCTGGTAAGCGCTAGGATCAGCAAAATTTATAAGTGGTGCTATGACAGCTGTCAACCTCAGGGTTTTTTTTTGAAAATGGAGAGGGATGTCCCTGTCCTTGTAGGAACTGGCAGTGTGTTCTACCAAAGAGGATAAAATGCTATATCAACCAACGAGGATGAAAATGCTATATCAACAGTCTCTGGGCGCGCGTTCATGCTTGTATGTGGTGCCACGGATGAAGGAAGGAAACACTGTAGGCTATAAAATAAAACCGTGCATCTTTAACTTACCAGAATGAAAATGCAGGGAACACACTCGCATTGACATCAGGATACTGTGGAAAGTTCTGTTCTCTCGTCTTACAGCCGCGATCCAAGCTAGCCGACGACTCTTTGTTATCTGTGAAACTTGGTCTCCGTGTTTGCGCCTCCAGGCAGGACAGCGGTGGAAAGTTATCCCATTTTGTAGGTTTTTCCCTCGGCGATCATGTGATGCGCTGTTACAGCCCACAATACAGCAACGGTTTACCATGGTTGAAATCAAGTTACGGTGAAATTAAACGAAATAAAACACGGCTGAGAGGGAGAACACAGGCAATAGTCTAAGGAAGCCGTAAAGTGCGCCGTCAACATGGTCACGACGACCAAGCCCTATTGCGAGGTAACGCAAAAGTTTTTGCGAGGGAACGCAAAAGTATTGCGAGGTAACGCAAAAGTATTGTGAGGGAACGCAAAAGAAAAAAAATTCCCCATGTCCCCTAGGGGGCTCCGTAAAAATGTTCAATAGTTGCTCTAAAAGAATTAGAGAATTCTGACAATTATTTTATGGTTTTGGCTCTCCAGCATTAGTTATTGTCAGTGTTGTATAAAGTACTGAAATCTCGGAGTCAAGTAAAAGTATAAGTACCTCTCCAAAATATGACTTTGGTAAAAGTCCAAGTCATTGACTGAAATGTTACTTGAGTAAAAATCTTAAAGTATCTGAAATGGCTTGTACTTAAGTATAAGAATTACTGTAAAAATAGATGTACTCAAGTAATGTAGTGAAAAGTATAAGTAAAAAGTAAGTGCAGTTTGAATTAAATTTTTTTTTACATTTTGGTAAACTTTGAAGGTTAAATTCACTTAAAATAATATACACAACCAAGTGTAGGATAAATTTAGACTGGCTTTGCGAAACAGGTGTATCCTATTGGTGCTGATGAACAAGCCCAGGCAAGACCCGACTTTGTAGTCAGTAGGTGAGGTCAAAACACTTGCGTTTCTCTTGCTCTCTCGCTTGTTTTTTTTTTTTTCACTTAGTAACTAAACCAAACATTGAAAATGTATCGGAGTAAAAGTATGCAATTAAGTTTGTAAATGTAATGAAGTAAAAGTGAAAGTTCTCAAAAAAATGTATGCTCTTGGACAGTATAAAGTACTCCAAAATATACTTAAGTACAGTAGTGAAGTATTTTTACTTCGTTACTATACAACACTGGTTGTTGTCCGTTGGTCTCTCTAAATTACCCATAGCTATTAATAGCCCCATTTACACTACCCTTGAAAAACCGATCCAGGCCCAGACCGGTCCGAGCTTGGATCGGTAACCAGGCCAAGCTCAGTTTTGACGACCGTTCACACGTCACACTTATCTCGGTTATCTCGACTCCTCGCCTCCTAGTGACGATGTGCGGTATTACTGCTAGGATTGAAGGAGGGACTCAAGCAGCTGGTGGCGGTAATGCACCAAACGCTGTTTGTCAACCGCCGTAAAACCCAAGAAGAAGAAGACGAAGGAGGAGGGAATCAAGCAAATCAAAATGGCGGCGCCCGTCACATTCAGAAAGTTATGCTTGATTATTATTGCTGTACTTCCGTGTTTGCGGTGGGTCAGGCGAAGACGGCAACCTTGCGCGGATGTACTTGAATGGAGTGTGAATCGGCATGTTCAGCCAGTCGGCGATGACGCGTTCTGCTCATGCGCTCTTGTTATCAGAGAACCGAGCCAGGAAAAAACCGAGCCGAACCCACCTCGGGAACTGGTCTGCAGTTAGCGCGGTCCGGTTATGTCTATCTCGGTTCAGTTCAGGTTGTTTCCGTTCACACACGACAAGTTATCTCAGTTACTGAGCTCGGACCGGTCTCGGCTCAGTTTTTTAAGGGTAGTGTAAACGGGGTAAATGAAAGCATTCATAGTTGTTTGCCCTGTGTCATTTTTTTACCAACCTCTTACCAAATTAACTAGAATTCCAACTGTTCTTTGATGGCTTTAGAGAACAGTGTTAAAGGATAAGCAACGTGAGACCAAGGAATATGCCAGACATGAGAGGGAAGACACTGAGGAGATTTTTAAGATAGGGTTAGATTTTGATACAAACATCACCTTCCATCTATGCTGAGAAGCAACATGGTAACTGGCTCATGGTAACTGGAGATGAAGACATCCACTATGGATAAAATATGTATACAGGAATGATGTTTGTTGTTCTCTAAAAATATATTTTAAAATGAAAGAGATTTTAAAATAACACTGCTCAAATAAACATGATAGAGTTGTGGTGGCAGTATCTTGCTTTTAGATGCTTTTCTTTGGCAGTTACAGAAAAACTGAATAGAATGGAAGACGGAGTTTAATACAGGGCAATCCTAGAGCACTAAAAGACAGGAGACTGTTCAGCTCCAGTGTCAAGCAGCATTCTGTTAGAAAGGCCTAGTCAAAGTCATGCATCTAAATAAGAGTCTTTGGCATGACTTGAACTTCACAGAAGACGATCCACTTGGTGGGATTAGGCTGAGGCTATTTTGCAAATTAGAAAGGCCAAAAATGAGGATAGATAAACCCTAAAACATCTGCGACTTTTACTCCAGTGAGATATTGACTTAGGAGGCAAAATAATACAATTCGATTCAAAAATACTTTATTATTTCCAAAGGGATTTTAAATGTTGCAGTAACTCCTACATTATTTTTTAAACAGGTGTTGTAGGTGTTAGTAGCTGTAGGCATGAAGGATCTCCTGTAGCTGTCTGTCTTGCACCGGATCTTGAGAATCCTCTTACTGAAGATACTCTATTTTAAAAAATCTTCTGAAGAGGATGATCACTGCTGTCCATAATTTTCATCACTTTATTAAGAATTACAACAGATAAAAATAAATATGTTCCACACCTTTTTAAACTTACAACTTCTGTTTATTTTAATGTGATCACTTTCTGTTCATCCATCACATATTTATCTAAAAAAACAAAATTTTGTTGTAACCAAAAAGAATGTAAACATTTATAAAGAAGGCAGTAGTATATTGTCACTTTCACTGTTAAGTGTTGGATGAGTCTTCATTCAAATAGACTTTATGTGGTAATTTTAGCCCCTCACCACTTTATCTCAGCATTCTTGTATTTGCCTGCTGGCCCTCTTTAGGTGCCACACGGACTAAGGATGCCAGAGAGCTGCTCTATGCTCGGCAGAAGGTGGTTGTTACCACCAAAGCTTTTGGGCTGCAGGCCATCGACCTGGTTTACATCGACTACAAAGATGTAGAAGGACTGAGGCTACAAGCAAGGGAAGGAGCGCTCATGGGCTTCACCGGTAAAGAGACTGTCACCATAATGAATATTATATCAATGTTCACTATTATAACTATACTTGCTTCCCATTGTTAGCATTGATGTTGTTTCAACTGCATGTCCCTATAATCCTGGGGAGAAGATTTAAAAGTTCTCATCTGCAAAAAAAAAAAAAAAAACAACATTTAAGATATTTTGTAATAACAATTTCACCTGAACAAATATTTTAACCTGTTTTACTGTGGAATGATAAGTGTATTTGTTGTCAGCATCAGTTTTTTTAAGACATGGCACTCCACTTTGGGCGACATATGCTTGGGGACTGAAATAAACCAAAAAAAAGTCCAAGTTGCACTCCTAATAGATATATTTTTGCTATGCAGCAACACCTCCACTAGTACCCCCTAAAAGCACTAAGAAAATATAACTATAGTAGCTGGTTAATGAAAGCAGAACTTGATGTCTTATATGAACTACCAATTCATTACCAAGTTAAACGGCTATTTTTAGCTTTTTTAATAAATCACATGCCTCATTTGAAATGCCAAATATAAAAGGATAAGTTGATTGTGTATAAATTTCTTTGTCAAGTATTGAATTTGAGAGAGGGGTACAGAAAAAGGATTGTCTTTTGCTGGATTCATGGAAGAACCTCCAGTAATTGTAATTATTACCTCTATCAAGAGATCAAAAATCAATACATTCTTTTGCATAAAAAATTACCTAAATCTCATTTTCTTTTATTTTTAGAATTATTTGTTTTAGCTGAGCTGTATCAGGCATTAGTTTTCCAGAAAAAAAAGCTTCCAGACAGACATTGAATCAATGACCTGCTCTTCATGGGGCTCTTATGGAGACACAGAAAGTGCCTGTATGTCATGTTATATCAGTGTGTAAGTTGCACTTTTTGCTGTTTCCCACTGAAACTCATCCAGGTGACCTTGTTTGCCATTTCCGCCCCTCCGGTGTGCTGAAGGTTCTTGTGCCTGCGTGTATTCTGTTCTCTATCCTGTTTTTGCATCTTCAGAGCTACACTCAGCACACGATTCCTCAAGCTTAGTCAAGAATAGAATTGAACTGCAGTCAGAAAGATTTGCAGTTGATCTCTTGATGCACGAGGAATTAAAATGGAACAGCTGAGGGGAATCAGCTGGTTGATGAAATAAATGGTTTGATTTGAAAGGGAGCAGAAGCATTTAAAGAGCTGGATTAGTGCTGTACAAGCTGTGGGCTCTCTGTATAATCTTGGTTAGTAGCTATTACTGGCCCATGTGTGCTTAAGCAATAATACTGTGCAGCCAAAAGCTTTACCTGTGCAGTAATTGACCTTGGCACAACCTAAGCTGGGAAGAGCACCCATTAAACACAGAACACTAGTGCCCCGTACCAGGGAGCTTAGTATTGTAAAGGCAAATGTTGATCTAATGTGTATACAAGAAGATATTAAAATAAAACAAAATGTCTGATAGCAGTTTTATTCCTATTGTAGTTAAATGTTGTATAGACTTCCTATTCAGTGTGATCTGAGCTGTGGGTTTGCATTTAAAATGTTCTAGAAATAGCAAAACAATATCTGCTCTTCGGGGCCACATTACACTTCTGTCCCCAGGACCCTGTCCATCATTCGCCTGAGAGCACTTTGCTAAATAGCAATCCTCCAATAAGATGCCAGCCCCACATGGCAGCCTGGGATTGGCTGCATGGCGTGAATGATGCATTTTAGGAGAACCAATGGATTGTAACCAAGGGCACCTGAGTCGCCCAGCCAACCCTGTTGGAACCATCATTTTCTTGTTGTCCTAAACAGCTCTACACACACACACACACACACACACACACACACACACACACACACACACACACACACACACACACACACACACACACACACACACACAGGCTGACTTAAATAAACATTTTCTAAAATTAAAGAAAATTTAAGCCCACCAGGTTTAATATGGAAACATTCTATAGCAACAAGGAAATCGTGTGTTCATAAAAGGGAAGGCACCTTTTTCTTTTATTATTATTTCATTCTGATCATCCGATAAACACAGGTGCAGAAACCTGGTCAGATATCTGTGTAAACTATTCAAGCTGTTTTTGTATCTCTGCTTTAAATAAACCCTCTGTAATTAACAGAGAAAACAAAAAAAAAACTCGGGGAAAAAAAACGATTATTAATATTATCCAGGCTAAAGAGTAATCATTGCCATGTTTTTTTTTTCCCCCAAGGTTAACTAGGGTGAGCAGAGGATTCTCTCCTCCCCCTTTTTTCTCCCCTCTCCTGGGCGACTCTTTTTTTTTTTTTTTTTTTCTAACCCTACTCGCTCGTGCAGCCCGCCTGCACAGCCACCTTGAAGGATTTGTTGCTGGCGACAGAGCTAAGCCCTAAAGTGTCGGGTTCCTGCTGGCTGCTGCTGAGCTGCCGTTCTTCCCAGACATGTTCATAACCCTCAACTTTATCGCTACAAGTTTGATCTGCAAATGTACACGGGATTATGTCTGCAGCCGTCGCCCACATTCAATGGAGAAGATGGCTATGTGGAGGGGGTGGGGGGGGGGGGGGGGGGGGGGGGGGGGGGGGTTCTTCTTTCCTTTCCTCCATCCCCAGTCCCCACACTTTGTGAGGTTTAGAATCTCTGCCACTAAAATTATACAGCAAGTAGGGCAATAAAGAGATTTCCAACAGACCAAATACATTATTTGCATGTGTTATTTGCAAATATTTAGTATCACTCGATTATTTGCAAGCAAGCAGACCTATGTGTTTGCAGTAGTGCACATATTTTGATGACAACTGAATCCGACCTAAGTAACTGAGGGACCACCTGCTGGTAGATCATGTTTATCAAAGTCATATAACTGCATGAATAAGCAGAGAATGGAGATTTGTTAAACCAGGTAGCAGTGGATGCATGAATCGTGGGTATTAAACGTGTTTCTTTTGTATCTCCACCCAAAATCTGTCTTTAAATAAAAATAACGAAATAGTGACATGAACAGCACAATGGAGCCAAACGTATCTGTCTCCAGCTACATGTTCTGATGTGTGTTTCTCTGTAGGTAAGCAGGTTATTCACCCCGGGCAGGTCCAAGCTGTGCAGGAGGAGTTCTCCCCGAGCTCAGAAAGGGTCCAGTGGGCCAAGGAGCTCATCGCTGCTTTCAAGCAACATCAGAAAGAAGGAAAGGTAATGATAAGTGTAGATTTATCAGAATCTTAATACTTTTGATTGTCAAAGGAAATTATTTGTAGGATTAGCAACACTTTATATAATAGCTACATTATCAAACCCCCTAAAACTTTACGTCATTCAGTTTTGATCTGAGCCCTTCCTGCACTTTAAATCATCTACAAAAAAAATATGAGACAGTCATGGTTTGGAAACTAATGATTCACAAACCATTAATCTTATTAAGAACTGCATGTTTGCCCTTTTTTAGAGAGAATTAGCTATTAAATGTTTTAAAAAGTTAATTTGATATATTAGATTTTTGAAAAGAACTAAAATAGGGTTAAAACTACGGTTGAAAAGCTATGGCTGATGCATTTAAAGTTGAGAGCATGCTCTACGAAAACTTATTGCAGGACTAATCAACCAGGCTGTGTTTGTCTGCTTTACCCTAGTAGCCTTTTAGGTATAAATATGAGCTGGAATGCAGGATTATGTCGTACACATTCCTTTGTTTACATAAATAAGCCATTACCATGAGAATGCAGTATCTTTACTTGAGCATATGATACTATAATAGTCTCATACTGGCTCTTACCTGATCGCCATGTTTAAAAACACTCATTATAAGAACAGCTACTTTAAGATATTCCCATCTGCAACTCTTCAACATCCCTCTGCTGTCCGTACGCTGTGATGACACGGCTGTTTCTCTGCTCCGACGCTCACACCGATCCTTTGTGTGCACACCTCCATAGCTCCAAAGACTACATACTGTACGCCCCGGGGTGACTATCAGGACAGTGAGGGGAGGGGAGTTGGGCCAATTAAGTGTACAATATTATTGTCCCTAATTTAGTGCATGGTTGGAGCCTGTGTGCAGAGCTCTGTGGGCTGTCTGCTGAGGTAATACACAATCTGCCCGCCACCTCTCTCTCCCTGCCAGGGCATCGCCCGAAGGGATTCATCTCTTAGCCGTCCCTCAGCCAAGCGCTCCACGTGTGTTTGCATTTTATATTTTCTACTGTTCCTTTGTCTTTCCAGGTTCCTGTCCGGAGGAAAGAAAAAAAAAAAGGCTTTCTATTATTCTGATGTCAAAATATTGACAGAATTTGCAACTGATTTTTTTTATCAAAGGTGCATTTTTAAAGCAATGTTTGTTTTTCTCTCCAGGGCGCATTCACCTTTCGCGGCAGCATGATTGACTTGCCCTCGCTGAAGCAGGCTCAGAATATCCTGACCCTCTCTGCTGCTGTGTCGCAGAAATAACCGGAGGAAACACGGGTCGGAAAAAGGACAGGAAACTAGAAATCACTTCATGAACTTTACAAACCTGGTGCAGGATTACAACGAAAAACATGGCTTGTATTTTTAGTGTAGTAAACATAAATGTAAATACACTGAGTGGCTGTACATGTCTGTTTATATGAGAGTCTTATTTGAATTACTGGTGTGTGTTTTGAACATTTCAAGATCTCACTGTGAGCCTGATCAGTGCTCTGGTGATGAACCCTGTGCAGCTTTCTGGCAGCATGTTCACCGTCATGTCACTCTGCAGCCTGCGTGCCCACACCCTCCATCTCTCCCGAGTCATGATGAATGCTCTACCATCAGCACGCCCAGGCGGGGGGGCCCAAAGGGTAAACAAACAACACCGCTCTGCTGTGGCAGGTCTATTCCTCGGGCCCCGTAGTTACAGCCAGGCCTCAGCCGCCTGCCTCCATTATGACTCAAGTACTTCAACATTAAGACAAAAGAAAAATATAATTGTTTTGAGTTTTTTTACTTGACGTTTTAGCCACACAGCGGCTGAGGTGAAAGGCACGCAGCAGCATTAAACTGATTTCCTACATTAGGGTGACCTGTGCTTACAGCAGCATTCATCAAAACTGTTTCAGCGGAACATAAAAAATGAACTTAATGAGCGGAGTGAAGAAGTCACAAATGAAAGCACAAAAGAGGGCTTTGTTGAACACTTGTCCGATTCACAGAGGCTGTGAAGTGGGTGTGATGTTCGAGTAGAGACAGATTAGTGGCCATGTTGCTCCAGCAGACCAGGACCGAGGCTTTGTCTCTCTGACTGCGGATGGGAGGATAATTGGGGGGGTGTCGAATGGTTAATAGTGCCATTGGTGACCATGGTAATGAAAGGCGCCATACCACCTCTACCCCACCTCATCCCCTCTCTTTCTCTCTCTTTTTTCATGTTTCTTTCCCTTTACTGTATGATGTATTGTGTCTGGGACAGAGCCGGTGTCTGTGCCAGGCCCGTCCAGACAAAAAAAAATAAAAAATGAGACAGAAACCCACTCCTGCATCCAGCCAAAGACCCCGATGGTAAGCCGTGGCATTTGGCCACAACGGTTATTCGAGACTGGTTCACTTTTTGCTGCCATTTATTTTCTAACTCTATATTTGCAGCTATTAGCTGCAGCTACGTTTAGACATTGTGTCACTATATCAGAACTATAAAATATACTTTTTTTGATTGCCCTGGTTACTTAGACTAGAAATAAATATAACAACAATCTTGTTGAACTTTGAAATGTTTATCTCGACTTCTTAAACTGTTACAATTTGCATCCAAAATGCTCTATTTAAGTTTATCTAAAAAGTGTGTGATTTTAGGGCTAATACTTTTGGGGGGGCGGTGTCAGCATTGTATTTTTTTTGTTTATAAAAAATAGTATGAAGCACAACTATTTAAAATAGAAATCATTACTAGGTTCATAACAACTCAGATAAAGTCCTAAATGTCATGTCAGGTATCGTTACCCCGTGCATTTGTACATTAATTCATCATTATTCCGTCATTTTCTTTTATTTATTTCATGGTAATGGTTTTTTCCATTTTTCCGAAATATCTAGCATTCTTCTTGTTGGGATTTTTTTTGAAGAGTTCTGCTCTTTTTGATCAACCTAGAATGCCCAGACAGTCTCCCTTCTCCAACATCACACAACACACTAATAGGGTCAAACATGCTGCAAAGTATGTTTAGCATAAAATAAAGTTCATTGATTAATTGTTTACACTAACTGCGTTTAAAATTATTTTTTGGCTAATAACTTAATGTTTTTTTTTAAATATGATAATGTTAGGATATTCTATATAAGCAATAAACCCATACTTATAGAAATCTGAAGAAGCATGATAAACTGAAAGTCTGATGATCATCTTGGCTCCCCTCTCAATCTTCTGCAGGGCGATGTTGTCTAACCCATTGCCTTTTGAGCACCACCTCATGCAAAATGCACTAATTCCCCCCGTTTTTCCAAATTGAATTATTAGTGAGAACGTCTTTTCTGTATTCAGATTAACCTAAAAGGACATTAAAACATTATTTTATAGTAAAACAGCTTTCCCGTTCTATTCAGAGTACTGTAGAGGTGAAAGAAAGGCCTTCAAAAAGCCATTTAGCCTCACATGGCTGTGAATGCCCCACACTGCATGCCCACCAGAGCGTAACGGAGTGACTTTAGTTTTGCAGGAGCTCGGTTTGATGGGACAACTTGACTCTGCAAGCTGCTCTGCTCCAACAGGTGCCCCCCACCCACAGACAGGAAGGAAGACCTCAGAGCAGAGGGGGCTGCAGCTCAGGCATCATGCAGGGACAAAAGCAAAGCTCCTCATGAGGATGGAGGGGGAAATCATTTAGGCAGGGCTGTATTTAAGGAAATGTAGTAAAACCTCTGCTCCTATAGCTTTCACCTCAGTATCCCTCTAGATTAGAGGAATTTATCACTGTCTGTTTCCTAATTTTATGCCATAAGGAAAGTGATAATAAAAAAAAAAACAACTGCAGTCTTATTTAAATACATGTCACTGGTATTCCCTTAAAGATTAAATTACAATTAACACGATTAGAACCTCGCAGAATAAGGAAAAAAAAAAGCAAATTGATGGGGAATCAATTAGGCAGCGTTTCATAGCCGGTAATGTGCAGGTCCTGATTGCTTTCATAAATAATGAGCGCTTCAGCGCAGGCGGAGACAGAGAGAGAGAGAGAGAGAGAGAGAGAGAGAGAGAGAAGGCGCGTATGCAAAACACCGTGAGAGGAAAATTAAAACGAAATGTTTTACATATTTCCCCATTAATCCAAATGGGACCCGTGCGGCAAAGATAGTTTTATTCTAATTCCCCTCCCCTCCCTGCCCGGGGATGCTCAAATAATGACTTGAAGTTTTAATAGACTTCTAATGGCGATGTATGACAGACTAATTGCAGAGGCAGATTATTCCCAAGCAATAAAAAACGCAGTTGTGAAGGTGCGCCGCAGTTTGGGAGGCGCGGATTTATTTGGATTATAAGAGAACAGATCGAGAGGAAAATGTTTCACTAGAGATCCAAACAGGAAAGCTGTTTATAAGAGTAAAGGAGGAGTTTTATGAGCATTTAAGCAAAGTCCAGTCCTCTGAGAAACTGAGAAGAGCATCTAAAACAGAACACAGGTGCACAAGAAAAGGCTTGTTTCTCCTATCAATTAGAAAAAATATTTTAATTTAAAAAATAATAATTATTTGAAGTAAAAATATTGTGATTTTTATGTCACCAATCGGGCCTTTAAACACAAAAGGAAAGAACTATGGTATATCTTAATGTTTGATCCTGATTAAGAACCTAAACTGCTCTGATGATGGACGCACTGAGCCCTAAAGGATGTAAAATTCACCGAGGCCTGTCTGCTGGCACATGTGGACCATTACTAACTCAATTTCAGGAGCTCTAAATGTTCATCTTTCACAGCAAAGATACAAAAAATAAAATAAAAAATAGGTATCCTATTTATTCACTTTAATTTACTCCATCCATTTATATTCTGATAACAAAAAATAGCATTTCTAATGCTGGAATTGTTCTTGCGCTTATTTGTGTTTTTTATTTTATTTCCTTTACAGACATGACTGCGTGGTTAGAAAAAAATAAACATAATGGATGAGGACATCTGTAAGCCCTTCTCAGGCTATAACACTGGGGGCCTTTTCAAGGCTCTGTTTTTGCACCGTTTTATCCTTTGCACTGGCAAACCAAGCTGTTAGGATTGAAGTAAAAAAAAAAAAACGATTTTAAGAAGGAAGAATTGCCATCTACCTTGATGCAAATTCAAAAAAGGAATCAAAGAAACTTGTAAGTGAGGCTTCTTAAGTTATTTAAACCATTTTATTATAAACTACTTATTAATCACATTATCAGAATAAGTGCTAAACTACTTGGTGCATATAGGGCTCCTGCAATGGTTTAAATCTATTAAGATTGTATCTAAATATTTCCCAAACAGCTGGACCGGAAAATATGTTTGCTATGATGTGAACTTTAGAATTAAGCTTGTCTCCATTCTTAAGATAAATTCAAAACTCTAAAGGCAATAGATATTTTACTACATTAGTATATATTGACCCATAATGCAGGCCTTGCTTTTGTCTGACAGGACACTGAGGGAGACAAATTGAACAATCTAAACTGACATATTCAGATAAACACTATTAATTAAGATTTGTTACCCCCCCAAAAAAGCACACAAACTAATTTATTTTAGGATTCATCACTGTTGGATATTACATTTTACAACATGCTTGTTTGGAAAAATATGTATATTGCATAAAATTTATTTCTCTCCAATTCGTTTTTACAGTGTCGATTTGACACCGATTGATGACATCAATGAAAATATAAAAAAATCATATCTCACTCTGATGTTTATATCTGATCACTGCTGGACTTTAAGAAATGGAAATGTCTTGAGAGCTTTACTGAAAAAAATTTCGTTTGTGTGTACAAAATGACAATAAAGTTTGTCTTAGTCAATATATATATATATATATATATATATATATATATATAGTTTTTTTTTTTTTTTTTTGTTTTTTTAACCAAATATATAGGTCTGTAGCCTGTGCTTTAAATCAACCATACATGGGCCTATTTATAAAAAAAAAAAAAACTTTTAAAATGATTTTTTTGTTATTACGTAATTGAATATGATTTTTTTTTTTAAAGTTGATTTAGTGAAAAACCAAATCAGATTTCTGGGTGACAGTACTCCTCTACTGGGTGGACCCCCCCTCCATTCACTGCTTCTTAACGGGCCCAGATCAAAGGCTGGCCGGCCCGGCAAACACCACTGAAACCCGCCCGCTTTGTCTGCTGTTGCCAGGGATGAGGAAGATGACGATGAGGAGGAGGAGGGGTAAAAACATGGACCCCCGCTCCACCAATTTTTGATCAATTAATTTCTCCTCCTTTAAGCGAGTTGCGCTCTTTCCGATGTTAAACTAATTAAAATCGAGTCAAGGAACAAACAAAACTAATAAAAGCAGCGTCATTGCCTTTGTTTAAAAAAAAAAAAAAACATAGACACCACTGGCCAAAAGTGAGAAACAGAAATACTAATAATAAAAAAAAGACG